TGGATCCTGTATTCCTTGTCACCCATCCATACCAGGACCTATCCATCTGACAAGTGGGCACTTGTTGTATCCTGTATTGCATTGTCACCCTATCCATCCACGAATCCATCTGACAGTGTGCATTGTGTATTCTGTATTCCTTGTCACCCATCCATCCAGCTATCCATCTGACAAGTGTGCACTGTGTATCCTGTATTCCTTGTCACCCATCCATCCAGCTATCCATCTGACAAGTGTGCATTGTGTATCCTGTATTCCATGTCACCCATCCATCCAGCTATCCATCTGACAAGTGTGCACTGTGTATCCTGTATTCCATGTCACCCATCCATCCAGCTACCCATCTGACAAGTGTGTATTGTGTATCCTGTATTCCTTGTCACCACATGCCCAGTGCTCACCTTGTATTACAGTTCTGATAGAGACCTTGTCCCTTCATGCGTACAGTCAAGAGTGACTCAGAGCTCAGGTTCACTGTCTTATAGAAATCCCATTTAACAAATCCTGAGAGATGCACAGTGCTAGCAGTGGCACATGTACATGTAAGCTGACCATTCTGTTTAAAGTTGCTTCGTTAGTTATGAAACACTGATTCCCCCTTTTTTTTGTTTGGAAACTGAGGCTCAGAACATCTTAGTGACTCCTCCAAGGGCCTACAGCAAGTTCTCTGCAGGGCCAGCCCTGGAGCTCAGCTTTCCTCAGCCTTAATCGAGAGCGTTTTCCTTGCTCTGAAACTGCAGGAGGATACACATTTTTCCCCCTGTTTTATTTGACTACCACTCAGATACTTGAAATACCTCCCCATTATTCTCCTTTCCAAGCCAAACATCCCCTCATGTGATTCAGTTTCCAGACCCTTTCCTATTTACCCCAGCCTGGCATGCTTCCTGTGGTCCATGCCCAGAAAGGAATCCAATACTCCAGATGTGGTCTGGCTGCGCAGAAAACACTGAACCGATTACGTCCCTCTGCTGTACACAAGTATTTGCCTATGCCACCTCCATCTGCATCCTTTCTTTTTGGTAGCCACATAGTGGTCTCATATTGAATATAAATATGCATTCTGCAAACATTGTGCCTGCCCCCATGCAGTTCAAGTCTCATTTAACTTCAGCGCAAGTTTCCGTTTCTATCACATCTGAGCTCATAAGGTTTGGCTCATATTTCTTTAGCCTTCAACTCCAGTACGATTATATCTAAATTATCTTAACTATATGTGAATACTATATTTATACATTATTTACAGGGTAAAGTGAAAATGATATATTTTACCATTAAACATCTATTTCAAGGAGTAGGAAGTTTATCACAGGCTAAGCACATAGTGCTATTATTTCTCGAAAGATTAGGTTACAAAAATTGTTGTGAAATGGATTTTAAGTAGCCTGTCATTTTCAGATAGATATGAAAAAAATTACAGACAAAAATTTCAGTACATGATGAAAATAAGATGCACAAGCAGCAAGAAATAGTAGTCATTGATTCACAAAGAGAAAAACAAAGTATACAAACTATATATTTACACTATATACATACATACATAAAAGTAAATTTCAAAAAGGTCATGGAAAATGGGATTAAAAGTAAGTTTATTCTGATGCCTACTTTTTTTTAACATTGTGTCTTTTTTTAAGATTTATTTATTTATTTGAAAGAGTTACACAGTGGGGGGGTCTTCCATCCAATAGTTCACTCCTCATATGGCCGCGATGCGCCCATCTGAAGCCAGGAGCCAGGAGCTTTCTCCGGGCCTCCCGTGTGGGTGCAGGGGCCCAAGGACCTAGGACATCCTCTACTGCTTTCCCAGGCCAAAGCAGAGAGCTGGATCGGAAGTGGAGCAGCCAGGTCTTGAACTGGCGCCCATATGGGATGCCAGCGCTTTAGGCCAGGGTATTAATCTGCTGCGCCACAGCGCCGGCCCTGATGTCCAATATTTTGAAATACTCAAATGTGAGGGATCTTTGAAAAGCTCATGAAACAAAATGCATGTTATGAGAAAAAAACTGAATGAATTTCCAAAAAATTTTGGACCAAAATAGACTTTTCTCTTTTAATTCTATTTTCCAAGCACATCTTGAAGTATCTGTATGTGTGTGTGTGTGTATCTGTGTGTATACAAGTAGGATGGGGGCAGGGCCAGCACTGTGGCACAGTGGATTAATACCCTGGCCTGAAGCGCTGGCATCCCATATGGGCGCTGGTTCAAGACCTGGCTGCTCCACTTCCTGTCCAGCTCTCTGCTATGGCCCGGGAAAGCAGTAGAGATGGCCCAAGTGCTTGGGCCCCTGCACCCACATGGGAGACCTGGAAGAAGCTCCTGGCTCCTGGCTTCAGATCAGTGCAGCTCCGGCCATTGCAGCCATCTGGGTAGTGAACCAGCGGATGAAAGATCTCTCTCTCTCCCTCTCTCCCTCTCTCCCTCTCTCCCTCTCTCCCTCTCTCCCTCTCTCCCTCTCTCCCTCTCTCCCTCTCTCCCTCTCTCCCTCTCCTCTCTCTGTGTAATGCTGACTTTCAAATAAATTGTAAATCTTTTAAAAAAATGGGGTGGGGGCAATATTGGAAAGTTATTCCAGATGCACATACTTTGTTTCTAGGTGGGTAGTTTTAAATCAGACCCTACAGACAGTGACCTATTCATGACGAGTGGAGAGACAAATGGCAAAAGGGCCTTAGATGGAAGGGAATTTTTAAGGGAAGTAATAAATAACTGTATATTGAAGAGCAGCTGACAAATTCCTGAAAGAGCCTTGCAGTGTAACTGTGAAGAATGAAAAATAAAAAGAATGCTATAGCGAGAGTGAACTTCAGTAATGAGATCCTGAATACATACTTGGATGTTAATTTATTTTGCATATTGATCTTATTTACATGTCCTATAATTATGTTAAAAAGGGAAATTAAAATTATTCCACTAACTTTAATTGTCTTACATTTTGGTAGAAAATGCACTAGATAATACATATGCCATCATCATAAACCTGGAGCCCATAATTGTCCAGACTTGGAGCAGTTACACTGCTGAAAGAAACGTAATTCAGTAGCAAAGTGTGATTAAAAACAGGTTTCTCAAAGACTGTAAGGTTTCCGGGACTGAAAGACACTCAGATACAGAATGCAGCATACGATTAACTGACGTTTCTCACACTCACCCTCTCGCATCTCCACCTTGCCCTAGTGCTTAGGGCTTCCTTGCATATCCAGCCTGCAGAGTTTGCTGCTCCCTGATCCTTTCCCCCGATCAGATTCCTTTCTATACCTGTGCCGTGCAGACGCTCTGACCCGGGTATGTGTGTGCACGTCTGTGTGTTGGTGTATGGGTTAGACAGGCCGGCGATGACAGGATTGTTTTGTGGGCGGGAGAAGAAATGCCATGAGCACTACAGTGTTAGTTGTTATCCGGTGAGGTACAGAAACACTCTTATGTTGCCATACGCTGCTTCTTGGCAGGGGAGCCAAGCCTTTGCTACATGTATGAGGGAGACGGGCTATGTGAGTCTTTTGAGAAAGAAACCAGCATCTTCGACTGTGGCCTCTATACTCCCACGGGATACTCGGATCAGTGGGCTACCCAAGCTTACTCCCCTCATGAAGACAAGAAGAAGTGTCCCGTTTCCTTGGTAACCGGAGAACCTCATTCCATGGTGAGTTGAGTCAGGTGAATAAAGTTAAGGAAGAGCAAAATTGCTCAGCCAATCCCCAGGATGTCTCATGGGAGCGTACTTTTCATTTTGTTCTTTTATTATTATTACTTTGTTTAAGGAATGCAACTTCATGAACTTAATATATACAGATTTGGGAACATGAAGATTCTTCCCCCCACCTCCCTCCCACCCATACTCCCCCCTTTCTTCCTCCTCCCTCTCCCTCTCCCGTTCTTATTTTTCACAGAGATTGATTTTCAGTTAATTTTTATACTCATAAGAACTTTGTTCTTTGGTTTTAGATTTTGTCCATACTGGTTTGAGAACAAGATAATGTTAAGTGAAAAGCTTGTGGGCTGGTAATGAAATCCCCTCCCCCACACTTGTGCCCCGTATCCTTACACGTTGTCACCTAGGAATGCTTGACTGTGTAATAGACACCAAGCTATATATGAAACTCTCAAATTTCAACTCACAGATATACATATCAGAAATTAGACTTGGGCTTTGTGTTTGGGAGGATATATTTTAAAAGAAGAAAAGGAAGCATTAAGGGTACTTACGACTGGGGTAGTTACATTACTGGAATAACTATTAATGCAGTATTACTGTTATTACTAGTTGATATTGGACAAGTCACTTAACCTCTCTGGATTCTAGTTTTCAGTTGGTAAAATGAGTATAGAAATATATTTGCATTTAACTCAATGGTGTAGTGCAAAGATTAAATCAGATTTAAATATATATTGAAAATTAAAATATAATCTGATTTAAATAATTGTTAATGAAGAAATCCTAGAGTTAGTATTAAAAACAAAATCTATAGGTATTCAATTATCCTCGAATATCCACCACCTATAGAAGAGTCTCTGAGGACGTATAAGATACTATACCAATGGCCTCTCTAAATTCCTGCTGAATACTAAGCTGCACCTGGGGAGCAATCCAGATGCTTCCATCACCAGATAAACTGTTCACCATAAGAAGAAGCAACACAGTCCTTTCACAGAAGTGAAGTAGCCCTCTAGCTACATGCTAGGCCAGGATGAAGTCATTGGTTTTTAGAGGAGACATCAACCAGGAGACTGAGGAACCAGCTGATGTTGGTGCAACAGTTCAAGGTCGTCATCAGGAACCCCTACAAGTTCAAGGTCGTCATCAAGAACCCCTGCATCTCCTAGATTCCAGCTCTGGCACCCCTGCCTTACAGCTTTCTTCTACCTGCTCATTGCATGACTGCTGTTGGTTGAGGCATGAGGCCATGATTTCAAGCAGGATGAAGGGAGTGGGCCAAAGTGTAACTGCTGTTACCTGCCAGCTGAGTCTCTCTCCTTTTATTGTGAAAACGGCAGCTCCTTGCAAGTTCAACACCATAGACTCCCACGCCATCGTACTGTCCAGATCCAGGCCACTTCATCACCCTTAGTTCAGGACCCCTGAGGAGATGAGTATTTGTGTGACTGGACACTGTCACCTAAAACAAAACTGGAGTTTGTTAACAAGAAAGCAGGAGGAAGTGGGCATGATTAGGAAGCTAGCTGTTTCTGCTGCCTTCTCTCGGCTGAATTCTGGCACCTTTTGGAGACCTGGCACTCCATGACCAGACGCCAGGGAAGCCGGGCAACTCTGAGTTAGTGAAGCTACTCTCTGAAGTGGCTTTCCGTCTAGCCTGTGGGTCTTCCCTAAGGACAGTGGGAGAAGTTCCCTGGAGTTTTGTCTCTGGCTCCTTTCCTCAGAGGAATGGTCAGTGGGTCCCTTACTCAGCATCCTCCTCACCTTCGCATGTAAGGACCTAACCATCCTCTTGGACTACTTCCATAGCTAACCTTGGAGCAGTGACCTGAAATGCGCTGACACTGTGTTGTTTGTGGATGGTGGGCTGGGAGTTGTCCTGGCTGCCATTCTACCCTGTCAAGTCATATCTTGAGACTAACAGAAAGCATGGAGAAATTCAGAATGGTGAAATGCCATCTGCCGATAGTGTGGTCAGTAGGTGCTGGACAGGTTCATTCTATTCGCTTCTCTCTCACACTCCATACTGAAGTATTTGGCTGAAATTGCATTTCAGATTTGTACCTCATACCATCCAGATTTACCCAAGCACCGTCCCCTTACTGGCTGGTTTCCCTGCGTCAGCAATGGAAATAGACCTCAGGATGAAGGACGTAAGAAAGCAGAGGGTAGCCTGGAGAAAGAGGACGAAGTTTGGCTCCAAGTAAGTGACCGGAATGACTTGTTTTGAAGACTGCAGATAGGGCTGTGTTTGTATGCACGCATGTGTGGGACCTTCAGAAAGTTCATGAAAATGCACAGTTTGAAAAAACTATGCATGGATATAAATTTTTTCATATCAGAATAAATTTGTCACTTAATTCCATTTCCATGAACTTGTTGAAGACTCCTATATGTAAAATGGGGCATTGGAATGGCTAATTTGGTAATTTCCTTTTGTTCTTGCAGTTTTTATATTTTGAATTTGTCTTCACCTCTCTTGAGTTTTTTACTTCTTCCTGTGTGAGTAACTGATTTACAAAGTGTAGCATGCACGTGAAAAAAACACAAAAATCATAAATGCATGATGTCCTCTCTGGTCACCACAAAGATCAAGAAATGACATTAGTGCCACCCATGAGACTCTCATGCCCCAGCTAGGTTAGTATATCATAGAAGTGGCTGCCATGTTTACTTCCATCACCATGGATTAGTTTTCCCTGTTTATGAACTTCATATGAAAAGCTCACAGTCTGTACCCCTTGTCTCTAATTCTTCTATTTTTTTAAGATTTATTTATTTGTTTGAAAGTCAGAGTTACACAGAGAGAGGAGAGGCAGAGAGAGAGCGAGAGAGAGAGGGCTTCCATCCACTGGTTCACTCCCCAATTGGCTGCAATGGCTGGATCTGTGCCCGATCCAAAGCCAGGAGCCAGGAGCTTCTTCTGGGTCTCCCACGTGGGTGCAGGGCCCAAGGACTCAGGCCATCTTCTACTGCTTTCCCAGGCCAAAGCAGAGAGCTGGATTGGAAGAGGAGCACCTGGGACTAGAACCAGTGCTCATATGGAATGCCAGCGCTTCAGGCCAGGGCGTTAACTCACTGTGCCACAGTGCTTGCTCCTCTGATTCTTTCTTATTCAGTCCTACTGCTTCACTTAGTAGTAGTGTTCATTTTCATTGCAACACAGTAATCCAGTGTTGGAACTCACCATATAGTTAATCATTCTAATCCTGATATTTTGGAGCATATATATATATATAGCTATGTTGACTATGTGGGTTATTTTCAGTTTTTCTCTATTGTGCTGTCATAAATCATTCTGCCATAGCATGTCTGCATTTCTTGTGGTGAACACATACAAACAAGTGAGTATGACTGGAATTGTCAGATTATAACTAGATCAAATTTACTATATAATCTTAAGTAACTTCAACCATGGTTACTCTAGTTTATACACTCACCAGAGGTTTATTAGTATTCAGTTAATTGCTTTACATCTTTACTGACACTTGGAATATTAACTCAATTTTAACCATTCTGTTAACTATGTAAAGATATCACCCTCTCTGGTTTCAATTTACATTGCATATTGACTAATGAGATTGGGAGTCTTTAATATGTACTGGCAGCCAGCGCCGCGGCTCACTAGCTAATCCTCCACCTGCGGCGCCGGCACCCGGGTCCTAGTCCCGGTCGGGGTGCCAGATTCTGTCCTGGTTGCTCCTCTTCCAGTCCAGCTTTCTATTGTGGCCCGGGAGTGCAGTGGAGGATGGCCCAAGTACTTGGGCCCTGCACCTGCATGGGAGACCAGGAAAAGCACCTGGCTCCTGGCTTCAGATCAGCGCAGTGCGCCGGCCGCAGCGGCCATTAGGGGGTGAACCAACGGCAAAGGAAGACCTTTCTCTCTGTCTCCTCTCTCTCTCACTGTCCACTCTCTGCCTGTCAAAAAAAAAAAAATATGTACTGGCTATTTGTAGAAATTTTTTTGTGTGTGAAAGGCATAGACTAGTCTTTGATCAATTTTCTATTGGATCATGTGTCATTTTATTTTTCATTTCTTTGTCATTTTCTAAATATAAATCCCTTTGCAACTATATAGTATTTAATATCTTCCAACACTCGATGGCTAACTTCTTGGTTGTCAATGGTATCTTTAGATGAACTGGAGTTCTCAGTCCTGCTGGCACCCAATCTATCCTTCCTTTTCCTTTTTGCTTAGTATTTTTTGTATACTGTGACAAGAAATACTTACATTCCACAAAGACGTGCTTTCCTATATTACCTTCTAGAAATGCATTATTTTATGTTTTCTAGTTAGGTCTGTGATTCCTCTAGGATTTTTATGCATTGTGTGATGTGGGATAAATACATTTTTCCTAAGAATAGCCAATAGATCTAAAACCATCTTTATTCAAGCAAACAAACAAACAAACAAACAAAAAGTGCCCACTGTGCTTCACTATTGCCACTTTTGGCAGAAATCAACTGACAGTGTATACATGGAAATTTTTTGGTGCTGTATTATTCTACTAGTTTGTGTATATTGCAACAATAGTATAGTCTTAAGTGTTGTACATTTTTAATGAGCCTTCACATCTAGTAGTCTTCAAATGTAAACTAAAACTAAAGCTTTGTTCACTTTCTTCAAAGTTTTGTTCACTTTTATTAGATATCCTCAATTGTCTAAGTTTTATATAAATTTTTAACCAGCATATCACTTTCCACATGTTGGAGAAATTGGTGCGTTTTTCATTGGAAAGTTCATTGAATCTGTAAGCCAGATTGAGAAGAGTTTTCTTTTTCTCCAATTCCTCTTATTAGCAGATTACAGTTTTCTGGGGAAACAGTTGGTTTCCTCAAATGCTTTTCTGTATCTGTTGAGATGATCATTATCATTTTCCCTTCCTCTGTTAGTGTATTGACTTACACTGATCAACTTCCAAATTTTAAACCAACCTTAAATACCTGGAAAACAAACATTGAAATAGAAGTGATGTCTTACCCTTTTTTAAAAAGTTGTGTGTACACTTGAAAATATTTTGTAAAGTATTTTTTATCTACATTCTTTAAAGGTTGGCTGCTAATCTTTTTTTATTTTACTGTCTTATCAGGTTGTATGATCAAAGCTAGATTATCTCCTAAACTGAGTTTCTCCCCCTCCCCACACCGAGGCCCCCAGTTCCCTGAAGTGTTTTGTGAAAGGTTAACGTTAATTTTTGACTTACTCATCAGTAAAGCCATTTGAGCCTAGAGTTCTGTTTCAGGGAAAAAAAATGGTGTGTGTGTGTGTGTGTGTGTGTCTATATATAAGAGGAAAACTACTATTCATTTAGTGCACTGTGATTTGAAGCATTAGACTCATGAGGAATGCATGTGCTTCTTTCTCTGTAAAAGAATCCTACCAAGAGGAGTTTGAGCATTCCAGGCTGGTTTCCATCACATGACTTACCTGACCAAACAAGTCGTTTCCCATGCCTTGGTGAATGGTCAGATTCCTGGCTAAGTGTAGATCATTTCTGGCATTTTGTCCTTTATACTTTCAGTGTTCTGATATATCACTGAGTTTCTTTAGCATGACTTTTTTGTAATCACTTCCTCTGGGACACACCTTTTCTGGTGTGACTACCTTTTTCATGTGGTGATGATTTCATTGTCACTAGGTTTCTCTGGATGCTGGAGTCTCTTGAATGAGGGTTACAGAAGCATTCTCAGAGTCACCTGTTTCTTCTAAAAATTCATTTAAGTTTGATTTAGATTTCATTTTCAACACTATCATCTAATTTCTTTGCTGCATTTTCATTGGCCGATTCCATCTTCTGATTACCCATTTTTGTAAAATGGCATGTGGGCTTATCACTGGAGGACAAGGGGGCAACACATCTATGCATTTTTCTTGTCTCTGTGTAAACTGAGTAACGAATACCCCATAACCAATCAGTGATGGACTTTTAACCAAGTGATGTGATTGATCACCAACCACAATCTACATTTGTTATGTACAAGATGGTTTTTGGAATGAAAAGTTAGCAGTGAGGTTTGTATGGAGGTACAAATAACCCTTACATGTGCTGATTTCATTTCCTTTGGATAAATGCCCAAAAGTAGGGTGGTTGGGTCAGATGGTAGATCTGTTTGCAGATTTCTGAGGAGTCTCCATAAAACATTAATGAAAACATTAGTTTACATTCCCACCATAGTGTATTAGGGGGTACCTTTTTCTCTATATCCTCTCCAGCATTTATTATTTTTTCCTTCTTCTATTTTCAATTTTTTTCTACGTGCTATAGTCTGATTGTTTTATACTGATATCTCTTCTGTTTCAATAATCTCAACTCCATGTAATCAGGTAGTAAACTACTTATTAAAGCTTTAATTTCAGTTATTATAATTTAATTCTAAAATCTTTTAATGTTACTTAAATATTCATATATTCTTTAAATGTTTCTGCCTTATGGTGTATTAAAATGTTAATCATAATCATTTTGACATCTACATCTGATAGCATCATTATCCTGGTGATTTGAGATCTGTTCATATTGAATGTTTTTTCTGTTAATCTTCATTCACTTGAACTTACCTACTATCATACTAAATACTGTTGTAACTGAAAGTTAGACTAAATAAATTGCAGGGAATCTGGCTAATAATCCCTTCCTTTTAGATGATTTTTAACACATTTATTTGTATATATATAATAATGTATGTATATTATGCAGATATACATTTGCATAATGTGTTTAACACAGGGCTTTTGGAACGATCTTCTGATCCACTCAGTCCTGGAGAGGTTTTGCTTCTTCCTCCGTGAGCGCTTCTGCAGTCTCAGCTGAGAGCCTGGGTTGGGCAGTCCGCCCTGATCCTCTCTGGAGTACAGCCTCGGGCTCCTCAGCAGTGAGGTCTGCCCATCTTCTTCAGGTTTTGCCCTTTCTCTTGCCGGTTTCTGCTTGGCTTCTTATACTTTCTCTGCATAGGATGTGAAAATTACTCCCAAGGCTAACGTGGCAGAGAACGTTAGAATCCCTTTGGTATTTCTTTTTTTGGATATTGAGTTCATAACTCTTAATTGTATGGGCTGGTTTCAGCATTTTCTTGCACTTACTTCATATTTTGTGACTTTTTGTCAGAAGTGCGCATTCTAATGCTCCTACACAACACACAGCTGGAAGCAAAAATCTCCAACTGGACTCCTTTTTTATATGTCAGTTACTTACTTCACACATTTTA